CGGATTATCCTTGGACCACCCTTGGGCTTTCGCCTTCGGAATTCTAGGTGAAGATCATAGAACAACATTAATTTAAGCCCATTCCCTTCATTTTTTTTTTTTTGCCCCCATTTTAATTTTACCATCAACTTATATTAATTAGTTGGCATTTGCTTTCCATTTCACGCATCATCTTAGCTAAAATATAGTTTGTTTTCTTCTTTTTCTGTCTTATATTTTTCATCTTTATGTTTTTTAAGAGAAGCTGGTCATGCATGCCCTAGCTAGATGGGTTTGCTTCATTTTAGAACAATAAAAACAAAGATCTAGATACAACATGATAGCTACCCCACCCCTTTGTTTTTTTGTTTTTTTTTCCCCCTCTTTCACCATCTTGTATAGAATTTTTAATCATAAGAGGTTAGAACAACAACTCCACTAAAAATATAGCCGTGAGGGAATTAAATAAAATAAAGAAACGCTAACCAGTATGAAGAAGAAAGGCTTAATTAGTGTCTCTTTTTTTTAGCTAACTTGAGGGACTAATAATTGTAGAGAGTCCTACTAGCTCTGGTACCGTGCTTTGCATAGCTACTTATGTGTCAGAATTTAATATGCAATTAATTCAGACCACTCCATCTGTCCGTCTGCCCCCTTTCTAGGGTAAGCACATAGATGTATTTATCGATCTGTAGCCAACAGTCTACGTATTTTGTCTGCGTGTATACGTGCAATTGCTTAGAGCCTCAAACTAACTCGTTTCGTACTTTAATGCAGGCAACTTGATCTCGTTCATGGTGTACCTCGCCCCAGCGTAAGAACTATATAGATATATATACCCTTTAAAATTCCTCTTTCGAAAACTCGTCGACGTGTTCTAATAAAATTTTCCAAGTAACTAACTAACCATGGTCGCGTATTTTTTGATGATGATACCATTTCAGACCAACCTTTTACCGAATATACAAAAAGAAATCAACAGAAGGGTTCCAGTCGCTACCGTACGTCGTGGCATTGTTCAGCTCGATGCTGTGGATCTACTACGCATTCATCAAGACCGATGAGTACCTCCTCATCACCATCAACTCTTTCGGCTGCGTCGTTGAGACCATATACATCGCGATGTTCATCGCATACGCCCCCAAGAAAATCAAGGTATATATATATATATATATATTCATATTAGCGGTGTGCGTCGAAATATTTCATTTAACAATGGGCTGTGATCACCTCTCATGTTCAATTCCACTACATATAAAATAACTTTGGCGAGATTGCTTTTTGTTCGTTTGCAGATCTATACCTCCAAAGTGATGTTGATCTTGAATGTGGGGGTATTCTCCTTGATCGTCCTCTCAACCCTCCTACTCGCCAAGGGCCCCAACCGCGTGAAGCTCCTTGGGTGGATATGTGTTTGCTTCGCAGTGAGCGTCTTTGCCGCCCCTTTGAGCATTATCGTGAGTACATATATATATACATATGCATGCGCAGACAAACGTACACGTATACATTGTTGTGTTACATTAATTCGTCCATCATAGCTATAACCTCTCGTCTTGTCTCGTGAACTA